AATTAAGGGGTTTATGTGCAAACAAGTTCGTCAAACTCAAAGCGGATGTTTGGTCGCACACATGTATGCTCCGCACCTGCGTGCTCCTGCGGATATCTGCATTTTTTATGCGAGACAAGAATTTCAATTTTGTATTTTTTTAACTTCTCTAACTTCCAAAAAATTAAATAACACAAGCGTTGACAATTTTTGGGACCACGATAATTAATTGCACAACTCCTATTTGACTTTTTTTTTGAGACAATCCTATTTGACGCCTTCTGCGCCCCTTGCTGTGTTATATCCGCAAACCACAGCACACACACCCTCCGCGGGCCCGGCCCATTTACCAATATTCTTTTTTGTTAACCTGCACAAAAAGGGTGCTCACGATGTGAATCGAACTCCAATTGAAAAAAGATAGTGTTGAAAGGGCGGCTGCCATGTCACACGAGAAGGCCCACTTTGGTGAGACGTTTTGCCAAACTGCCTTCTCCAGCGAGGGCTTCTAGAAAGCTGGTTGATATTTTGGTCAATAATGTTAAACATACAAAGAGTTACACGTAATTACACGTTGACTAGGACGTTTTCCATCTACTAATCAAACATAAACTCCCTCTCCCCTCTCTGATTTTCAGGGAAGGGGGGGACCGCCTCCCCACCTATTGACCAATCAGATTAACCCTCTTTGTGAAACCTTGTAACTTGTTTGTATGTGTAGCATTACTCTATTTTGGTTCCCGTGAGAAAGAAAGCGGGTCATCCAACTCTCACGGTCCCACCAAGGCACCAACTACTCCCCCGTTGTGTCGACCCCATCTGTGCTGTGTATGCCACTTTGATCGTCTCGTCGCTCCTCCTTTTTCCGCTCCTGTTGACGCGCCGATGGCACCCATGCCACCTTTGTCTAGCGCTTCATGGAAAAATCCAGCACCTTTGCTAGCTACCTAGTCGTATTCGTACGTAGCATCACTCAAGGTGTACTATTATCAGGCTAAAACGTCGTTGACTAGATTCCTTAGTTGGGAAATACTACTACCGACTGTTACTGAATGAAATGCATAATGGAGCAATCATGCATGAGAGGCTTGATGTAGATAAATAAAAGAAAAGCTCATTCCACTTCCATGGATAAAAAGTAACAAAAGCAAAATCCATCTCCTAAAGACATGGAAGTATATATATAGTGATCTAAACCATGGAAGTACTAATACGTATTTGTTTACAGAGCGAGTAGTATACCAGAATCTCGATCGGGCCGAAGATGAGGACGGTGTAGAAGCGCTTGATGTAAGAGTCGGCGAGGAAGGCCGCCGGGATGGAGAACATCTGCAGCGCCGCGAAGAAGTTGCTGGCCGTCGTTGAGGCCTCCGCCACCCCCATGTGCATGGTGCCGCGAAGGTAGGTCACCAGGTTCATGATGTTGGCGATGTTGGCAGCGTTGCTCAGCAGCACCAGAGCTGCATGCATGCACAACAACAAATTAGAAAGAAAAAATGTGAAGCGTCGATTAACATCTCTAATCTTGGCCAAAAAGATTAAGCTTCCTACTACCGAGTATGGTTTGTGGAAACACGCGACCGATGGCAAAAGTGGGAGCGAGAGTGACCTGCTACTGCTAGCTAGTCAGCAGCATGGCAGGGGGCAAGAAACCTGCTTGCTTGCTAGCTAGAGGGAGAAAAATCCAAATGGATCGATTGTTTACACATATGATATACTAACTCCAGAAAAGAAGGTTATCATTGTTGACAAAAAATGGGATGGGCAAGACTACTGGAGCGAGCAAATCAAAGGAACTTAGGAAGACATGAACGATGCAGTATGTATGCAGGCGTTCTGTTCCAATTCCAATTTCATACCGTGAATGAAGATGGAAGCTCTCACTCCTCCATGCTTCTTGGGGTTAACCGGCCTTCCCCTCCAGTCGACGAGCCCTGATGAGCTGCCCATGCCCTCCCTCCCGCCCTCCTTCCCTCTCTAGCAGATCTGCACTGCTTGTAGGTTGCTGCTGCCGGTGGAATGGCTGCTGGGCCTCTCGACTTGTGTCAGTCTTTCTGATGATGGTAGCTAATAAAGGAGCGAGAGGCCTTGGTGGTGGCACTGTCCAAGTGAGCACCAAGGAACGGGATGAATGACACAGCGAAAGGAGGTCCCAATGGACAGTGAAACGCCACCAACCAGCTACAAATAACAGCTGCAGTGCCAGTGCGGTCAGCTCCCAATGCTTCACATCGTGCTGCGCCAGTGCTACCCTGACCCATTTCCATTGCTGGGAAGGATGGTTTTCTTTGTGGTGGGGCTCAAGGTGTTGCGTGCGCTTCCACGGGTTTTTCATCGACTTGTTCAAATTTTTAATAGAAAAATATTCTTTCTTCTACGTTTGAGACTTCAAAAGGAGACTAATATGTCTATCGCTGATACTCGGTGAAGAAACCACTGTCCTTCTTAACGCTCCTTTACCTATTCTCAGTCTAGGAACAAAATATTCTCACGTCATGTCAGAGGTGCCGTGCCGCCACCACCACCAATGGTGCAAGCCAAACAAATACTGCATCACTCCCTTGATGATACAACTAGACAATCTGGAATCATATGTTGTCTCTCCACAAGGAGACTTTTGACACGGTGACATCAACCACCATGTCCATATTCCTCCCAGTGAGCCCTGTTATTTCAGGAGCAAGTCACCCCACCCAGACTATATACATTTCACAATCAACAACATCAGCTGGTTTACCAATAAGATACTACCACTTTAGCTGTGGATTCATCGTCACGTGAATACTGTGTGTCCGTTTTGATTGATGAAGGACACTTTTATTAACACAAAATTTAATATGCTCCAATTGCGTACACACCATTGTCAACAATGGTTGGTGCTTCATTCAGAGTAATGTAGACCCCATATGAAGCCAATTCGTCCAGCAGTAGATAACGGAGATGAACTTTTACATTGAAAATCATATCATTTCTACATAGTCTAAGCGCCCATAGTAAGGCAGATGCATCCACCCTTGTTAGCATATAAAACTTGTTAGGTATGTCATCGAACAATGACCATACAAATTGGCAAAACTTGTTGACAGATACAAATTGAACATTATTTTAGATGACTGACTATATAGAATGCGCAAACTTGCACTGAAAGAAGAGTTGTTTAATTGTCTTGCCATGGGCACAAAAACAATGCTTCTTTTGCTTCCTTGCCAGTTGCAGCGAGCAAGATTGTCCTTTGTCAGCACAACTTCCTCGGCGAAGATACCACATAACGGTCTTTCTTTTACTGATATCTTCAGCTTCCATATTTATTTTACTACTGTCCACTGGAGTCTTCAAGTGTGAAACCACCGTACCTATTGAGTCGTCGCCCATTTTTGTTAGATTTCAGCAAAACTCATCCACAGCCTTGACAACATCAACCCATCAATCATACATAATTAACCAAGGGTGACCTACCAACAAGAATAAAGGTATAAGCAGGAAGACTATTACCTCAGGCTAGGAGTCCTGTTCTGGCAACCTTGTTTGGAACACTTGCCCTCTGCAGTAGATCATAAGTGCACGTCACATGATAAATACCACCAGCTTTCATTAGCAGTTAATGCTCTGGATATTAATCTCCCATCTAAACAGCTTATCGTAATTCACCCAACATGAAAGACCATTGGACATGTAGCTTCATGACATGAATCCATATATGAGACCAAGTTACTTAATTTCAGTCTCATAATTCATGAAAGAACCATACCTTTACACAAATTCCAGCAAAAGATATCAAAAGGGTGACCTTCCAGTCCCGGGTACCATTACAATAACAGAAATTCATAGCAGAAATCACCATGAGACTACTAAATAGCAGAGCACCCCACTTAACAAATGCTCTCAGCATCGATAGAATAGAAGTCAGGGTAAGCTGCTGATATCCTAGCAAATTAATTAGCATCCATAGTTGCATACAGATTACAAAGATAAACACACATCCCAGAAAGACAATCCCAACAGCATTGACATTCTGGCAACATGAATTCGTCAGCATGCCAACATTAGGACCAAGCAAACCAGAAGCTTGTGAGAATTGGCAAATCAGTGTGTTAATCTTCAGGAACATACAGAACTTTCCCCACCAAACAGCGGTGCACATAAAATTCCATATATAGTTCCGATGTGGAGAAGCTTCGTAACATCTGGCACAACCCCTTGGCCTTGCTTTCCGTAATTGAGTGATGAAAAGATACTGTCATCTTTTTTAAGGCCGTTGCCCAACTGAATAACCGTTGCACAAAATTACGTTCATGTTCAGTTCCTGATAGTTCACTAATTTCTACTTCTTGGAGGCGATCGAGCACAAGTTTCTCACTTTTCCAGTGTGTTGGCTGATCACAAATGCAACTCGATGGGCATGGAGTCTGCGCCTGAAGTGAGGAGCATATCAACTTCGTAAGATTAACCGATACGTTTCATGACGAAAAAGAGATGAAATTATAATTTATCAGACTGTCCGAGTACTTCGAGATGCATAAGCACATTTACAAATGAACAACACCAGGAAATAGTTTGAAACCAGCATACTGCAGAAAATGTGTTTGTTCTGTGTTACTGTGTACAAAGAGAATCTGGTACGACAAACACTATTATAGAAATTACACAAATTCTTAAGCATGATGATGTTCAGTTTGACCTTTGAACTTCATTGTCAATGAAATATCTTAGAAAAGCATATCGTAAGAAAATAAAATCATCTCCAAGTACTTGCTTTAAGGCTGGTTGTAATGGGAGTATCATAGTTACTATAATACATGCCAACTAGGCAATTTTGATGAGGTGGCATAGAATTAAATGAGGAAAGGGAGAATTGAGTATCATATTATGATACCATATCATAATAAATTCAATGTTGTCATGCATGACAAAAAATAAGACCACCTAAGATACTATGCACTATGGAGGTACTATCATACACTAGTATCATATGAATGATACTACTGTACGATACTCCCCACTACGACCAGCCTAAGTGTGTTATCAAGATTGAGCGTGCGACTGAGCCTGCCAGGCAATAAAGTGCAATATATCGTGGATGAGGATTTGTGGCTCTCGGGTGCCGCACACCCCTATATGAATATAGCATTAAAAAAATACCAGGAAACTTCAAAAAATTCTGAAATTTTGGGATATCAAACCTGGGTGCCCATTGTATACCCGTGTTCGGTTTCGTGGGGCAAGGGTACCCATGGTAATCTCGGTAAAAGAGTCAAAAAAATTCCTACGTATAGAAAAACTATTTGGATGGATCGTCCATCGGACCGTATTTCCTTCGCCACGGATACCATGGGCACCCATTCCAAACGAAATTGAACACGGGTGGACAATGGGCACCCAGGTTTGATATCCAAAAATTTCAGAATTTCTTGAAATTTCCTGAAAAAATCAGTACTATATTCATATAGGGGTGTGTGGCACCTGGGAGCTCCAATGCATTTCCCAATACATCGTCGCATACATTAGAAAATAGTACGCCGCTTTGCTAAACTTGAAGATGAAAGTATTAGCAATTACACGAGCCATATAATTTCCACAGTCCCAAAGAAAGATGGTGCTAACACCGCGGATGCTTTTCGCCCGATCTCTTTGCAAAACTGCCCAATCAAAGGCATCGCCAAGCTCCTCACCAATCGCCTCAAAACCTACATCCCACTACTCGTTCACGGTGACCAAACTGGATTTATATCTGGACGGTGTATTGCTGAGAATTTCATCTATGCTGCTGATTCTCTCAACTGTTGTCATAAACACAAAGCTGCTTCAATGGTCCTCAAGCTTGACTTCAGGAAGGCGTTCGACTCCATTTCATGGCCTTCTCTGCTCAAAATTCTTCGCCATCGGGGCTTTCCAGATCGGTTTTGCTCTTGGATTGAGGATTTGCTCTCTTCCGGTAAAACTGCTGTCATTCTTAACGGGGTTCCTGGAAGCTGGATTCAGTGCAAAAACGGTCTCCGGCAAGGCGATCCCATCTCGTCGTATCTGTTCATCATCGTTGCCGATGTTCTCCAACAGCTCATCCTGTCTGCTGCCTCTGATCAAACCAACGAGCTTCACCACCCGGTCTACAATGATCTTCCGCCCTCCATTCTGCAATATGCCGACGACACTCTTATCATTGCCCATGCCTCCACTGCTGCTGCCCGTAAACTCAAGCAGCTGCTCGACGATTTTGCCTTGGCAACTGGTCTCCGTATAAATTTTGCAAAGACTACTTTTGTCCCCATGAATGTTGACGACACAACCGCCTCCACAATTGCCCAGATCTTTGGCTGTGCGATCTCTAGCTTCCCCCAGACCTACCTCGGCCTACCCTTATCCCCCACTAAGCTTCCCCCCTCGGCCTTCCAGCCCCTCCTCTCCTCCTACCAATCTTTCCTCCCGGGCTGGTGCGCAAAATTGCTTAATCGTGCTGCAAGGCTTGTGCTCATTTCTTCTGTCTTAGACTCTCTCGCTACGTATTTCATGTCGGTTTTCAAAATCCCAAAGAAAACGCTAAAAGAGCTGGATGCCATTAGACGAGCCTTCTTTTGGGCTGCTGAGGAGATGTGCACGGGTTCCAAATGTTTGCTTGCTTGGAAAAACGTTTGTAAACCGAAAATTTTTGGTGGTCTAGGCATTAAGAACCTAGCTGTTCAGAATGACCGTCTCCTTATGAAGTTTGCTCACAAATACCTCACCTATGAAAACACCTCCCACCTACCTTGGATTGACTGGGTAGATAAGCAACGCCTATGCAGCCTCTCCCACTTGGCATCATGCCAAAACCCCACGTTCCTAACAAAAATTATCCAAGCTCAGCTACAAACACTTCTCCCGATCACCTTCGTCCTCACCAATAATGGTCAGAAGACTTTCTTCTGGCTTGACACCTGGTTACTGCCAACCTCTCTAGCCACTGCTTTCCCGAG